TCTCACTGGAAGAGCAGGACCAGGTGGGATCCTGACGAGCAGGACCCAGAAGATGCCACTGGAGGGTGGGGGGACAGTCCGGGGGAACGGGGCACAGCTAGGAGCATCAGGGCGGCTCTGCAGCTCCGCAGTCCCAGAGGAATGCCTGACTCAGCATCCCACCCTTAGGCCACTGGACTTCTGTAACAACCCACAAACTAGGTGGCTTATAAACAATAGAAATATGTTTCACACTGAAGACTGGGAGTCCAAGAGCAAGGCGTCACCACCATCCAGTTCTGAAGAGGGCCCTCTTCCTTGTCCAGCCAGCACTTTTTCTGTGTCCTTAGACAGTGGAAGAGTCTAGGGGGCTCTCTGTGATCTCTTTTGTAAGCGCACTAATCCCAATCATGAAGGTTTTGTCCTTATGACCGAAAAGTGAAAGTGAAAGTCCCTCAGTTGTGTCTGACTCTTTGTGACCCCATGGACACACCTGTCCTCTGTCCATGGGATTCTCCAGGTAAGAATACTGGAGTGGGTTGCCAGTCCCTTCTCCAGGGGATCTTCCCGATCCGGGGATTGAACCTAGGTCTCCTGCATTGCAGACAGATTCTTTACCGCCTGGGCCACCAGGGAAGCCCCCTCATGACCAGATGCCCTCCCAAAAGCCCCTAACACCATCACACTGGGGATTAGGACTTCAATCTATACATTCGGGGTGACATAACCATTCATGATGGCATCACTGACTCAATGGGCATGAGCTTGAGCAACTCCAGGAGATGGTGAAGGACAGGGAAGCCTGGTGACTCTTTGAGGTCGCAAAGAGTTGGACATAACTGAGCAAATGAACAACAACAAACCATTCCGTTCAGAGCACTCCCCATCTCCAGGGAAGGGGGCTGGGAAGGGAAGAGGTCTGGGGGTCTTGACAAACAGCGCCAGGGTGGGCTGCAGCACACACACCCCCGGCCCAGCCCTGGAGAGGACAGTGCCTCCTCCCACCAGCTGCCGGCCAGAGCCCTCGTGTCTGTGGGCTCAGGGCCCCGAGGGACAGACACGGCCACTCTCTTCCCAAGGGTCCCTGTGGTCAGGGCTCAGCCGAGCTAGCCTGGGGCACCACCCTTTGCTCAGGCTGCCGCAGGGCTCACAGAAGGAGCAACAGGATATCCGTCTTTGAGCTATTGTGAGGTTTAACCTAATGTTGGAATTTCTGGCACCAAAATGGGGACATCACCTTCCTGACCTCCGGTGGCCTTCTGACACTCCACAGAATGGCCTGTCTCCAAGGAGCTTTATCTGGAGACTGGCTCTGCTCCACGGTCTGTCCGCCTTGGGCACTACCTGTACGTTTGTCCACCCCTCCTCCTTGTGTGTGAACCTACCACACAACTTGTGGTGTCCGGTGCAAAACTACGGAAAAATTATTAAGAAAGTCAAGATGGCAACAGCACAGCGTTAAACCACAGCAGGCAGGCGTGGGGCCGCCAAGTGCAGGGCCCCCAAGTGTAGACGGCTCAGGGCCATGCCCATGAAGCCGGTCAGTGTCCATGTATGTGTGTGTGTGTGGCTTGCACACACATTCTCTGCACGTTTGCGCCCTGACTCTGCCCACAGCCCACCTGCAGGGCCAGCCTCCAGCTTCGAGGAGAATCTTGGCTCTGAGCGCTCTCCTGCCTTCAGCTCCTCGGTCTCCGCACTTGGGAGGCCCCTGGGCTCAGTCTGCTGAGGGCATGCTCAGTCGTGTCTGATTCTTCGAGACACTATGGACGCAAAGGCTCCTCTATCATGGATTTTCCAGGCAAGAATACTGCGGTGGGTTGCCATTTCCTTCTTCAGGGGATCTCCCTGACCCAGAGGTCAAACCCGCGTCTCTTGCATCTCCTGCGCTGGCAGGCGGATTCACAGACACTGGAGCAGCACGGGACCTGGGCTTAGAGGGGCTGAGAGAGCAGCTGGGATGGCAGGTGGCCTGTTCAAGCCCCAGCCCTGGTGTGGTCCCCACTGTTCTTACCCAGAGAGATGGGAATTGTCAATTCTCTGACTGGACCAGTGCTTGCCAGTGCCCTGCCCCACTGTGAGGAGGATCAGGGCTACTTCTCCAGAGCAGCCTCTGCTCTTGGCGGAGCTGGTGCCCAAGAAGAATGCTGAAGAGATAACCAGCTGGGATGCGGGGCCCCCACCACGGGTATCCATGACTGCAAGGTCACATTCAGGTCCAAAGGCCGCCTTTGCGGGGTCCTACCTTGTACTACCTGGTGCGTAAAGTCTACTGGAGCCAAGAACACAGAGGAAGGGGTCACAGCAGGGCTGCAGGCCACAGTGAGACACACGGTGACCCAAGAGCGGGCGTCGGCCTGTGGGCGGTGCAGGCTGCGAGGCTTGGGTCCTGCCTGGGGACATTCCGTCCCTGGGGCGCGGAATAAGCTCCAGTCTCAGCTCTGAATCTGAGTCAGGGGTAAGAAGTTGCTAAAATCAACGCTTTAGGGCCTGGGAAGTGTTGACAAGCCTGCAGGCAGTGCCTAGGGTGGACAGACCAGCAAGCAGTTGCGGGCAGGCCACCAGGGTGGCTTAGGAGCCTGCTGTGCAGCATCTAGTGAGGTGTGTGTGGGCCTGAGTCCACGAGGTCCGGGTGGCCACGCCTGTGAGTGTGCGGTGTGCAGAGTGGCCCTCTGGAGAGGGGCCTCTGAGGGTCTGCGGGCTGCCTGGCCATCCGGGGCCCTTCCAGCTGAGTCAAACTCAGGCCAGCCCTCTGCCCAGGGCCCATCTATGGACCAAAGACGGTGTCATCAGGGAGAGAAATTCTCAACGCCGGCTCGTAGGTACTTGCCCCCCACACCCTACCCCGAACTTGAGCCTGCATTCTCTAGCGTCTGGCTAATGCAGGGGGATCAGGTTTGATCTCGGGTCAGGGAACTGAGACCCCACGTGCCGCAGGGCAGCCAACCCGTACACCGCAACCAGAGAAGTCCGCAGGCCACAGCGAAGACCCAGTGCAGCCAGAACAAAAAGGCACCCGAGTGCTGCGAGGCTCGTGGAGACACAGGTGGACTCCACTTCCCAGCCTCCCTGTGGCTCTCCGAGGCCATGTGACTAGGTTTCAGCCAATGAACGGTGGGCAGGAATAAGGCATGGGCTGCGCCAGCCTAGGCCAGGTCACAGAGACCTGCTGGGCGACCACCCACCTGCCTGCTCCCCTTCTGCTGACGGGGTGTTGATGGCCCAGGACAAACTGGGAGGAAGCTCAGCGAGGATCTCTCAGGCCCGGGTCTTTGAATGCATGTTCGGAGCGGGCCCCACACCCGCCTTCACCTCCACCAGAGGTGAGACACAGGAAGAAACATCTGTGAAGTGAAGCCACCGTGAGCGCAGGGTTTATCGGGGACAGCAGACGGTGTCACCTCAGCTAACACGGGCTCCTGACTGAAGGTGCTTGAGCTCTGGGGCCCAGATGAGGCACCCGTTCCCCGTCACCCTCTGAGATGCTGCAGGCAGCACTGGAGGAGACGCTCACGCCCTCGGGCCCTGCACGTACAGGGCCTCAGTTTCCAGAAGTCCGGGTGCCCGGGGTGAGCGAGGAGGTCAGGGGCCCCCAGAGGCCCTTGCCGGGAGCTGGCACACGAGATCCCACCCATGACAAGGTCATGAGGGAGAAAACCTGACAGGCAAGGCGGATCAGGTTTTCAGGGGTTTCAAAAAGCTGCCCCCGGCGCTCACCTTAAAGATGATATCTGTCTTTCTGATGCCTGCCTCAATGGACTACTCCCTAATTTCTGTGACACAGGCAGAAGGCCTTCCCCGATCTCTTCCCAAATAAGAATCAATTTAGAACTTTAATCAATAAGTTTCCCAGGTGGTGGTATTTTATGAGATTATCCAGGGTGAAAGGAGTGTTTTAATTTAAACTCCTTTGCTGGTAGTTTGTTAGCCAAATGCATTTATGCCCTTGGTACTAATATGCATGATTGCTTATAATATCCTAATCATAAAATAGCATAAAGAACCTGATTATATAAAAGCCCTAATAGACATAGAGCATTTTTGAGGGGGTGAAGGAGTCCTATTAGAAAACATAAGAAAAATTATTCTAAAGGTGGTTATTGGGTTGACGTTTGCTTGCTGTGTTTTTGCTTTTAATGTGCTAAGGTTGTGTTACAGAAACCATTGTTAATATAGTTAAAGCTCTAGAGAAATAAGAGCTTAGCCCTAGTGTGGTAACAATGAGATGGTTGTTACTTGTCAGCCAGGAGTATTAGGCAGAGGCTGCCTCACCAAAGTGGCAGAGTCAGTCTGGGGTAAACTTCTTAGATAAATGCAACTGACAACTTCTGCAGAAGGATTAATTTTTGTGTTAACAAGGTTATACTTCTACTCTGCACTGTTGCCCTATGAGATTGCTACCTTTCAGTTAAGGTCACCATAGAAACAGAAAACAGGTTTACATTCACCTGACTTGCATAAAATGTTAATAGGCCCCAAGGCCAGAAGATAATGTACAAGACCCTCATAAACAAAGAAGTATGCAGAAAACACCCTGGTTTCATGAAGAACAAGCTGATGTAATGTTAAACTATCTTCCCCTTAGAAATGTACTTTTTTTTTTTTTTTTTAGGGTATAAAAGCTACAGTAAAAAATAAAGCACTGCCAGACTCTGCCAGACCCTGCAAACACCCCCGTCTGGTCATTCTCTCTCTCTCTCTCTCTAACACCCGCCCCCTCCCCCCCAGACTTGGCCCTATCAAGGCTGGTCTCACGTGTCTTCTCTCGCGCGCGGACGCCGTTCATCCTGAGGGTATCCCCTGGATCCTGCCGAGGCTGGACCCCGGCAGGCCCTCAGACTGCTGCCCTGAAGGGCTGTGTGCCCGCCTCCCTGCGCTGAGCTCCCTGCCCTGAGCTCCTGAGGAAATGGCCTTCCCAGGCCTCCACCCTCCCTGACAGGCCCCAGGCCCGTCCGGGGGGAGATCCCCATTTCTGCCCCAGCCCAGGGCCTGGGTCCTGCTCCGGGTCGCCTGCAGTCGGGGTGCCGGCTCAGGAGCCGGCTGCCTCTGGGGCGGGGCGGCCCCCTGGGGCGGGGAGCAGGCCAGCCGCCGCCTGGTCCTGCTGCCACAGCTGGTCCGCCAGGCCGTTGAGCACATAGGCGACGTCGGCCAGCCCGGCCCGGCCGTCTAGCGTGCGTCCGTCCGCCAGCCGCCGCCCCGGCACGCTCTTCACCCGCAGCAGGGGCAGCGGCCAGGCCTGCCGGAAGGCCGCAAGGTCCCTTTCGGGCACGTCGGTGTGCACGTACTGGTCGAATCTGGAGGCGGGTCAAGGAGCCTGCATGCCTCTGCCTCCCAGTCAAAGCCAGCCTCCTCCCCGTCCCTAGTCCCCCGCACCCCGGTCTGCGGGAGGCCCTGCTGCAGCCTCCAGGGAGCCCGTGGGGCCAGACCCCACTGCGCAGCACAGGCAGGCTGCCGGACCCCCGCTCCTCGCCTCGCCAAACGTGGCCTCTTAACAGTCCCGGGGCCCCCGGAGGATACTTGGAGCCGATGACCATCCTGACCACGCCAGGGGCCTCGCCGGCTACTTGGGCCAGCTGTCCAGGGAGGTCTTCAAAGGAGGCCCGGTCAGTGAAGGAGAAGAGGAAGAGGAACGCGTCTGCATTCTCCTTGCAAGCCTGGGGAGGGGGAGGCCAACAAGAGTCTGCTGCGAGCTCGTCACCTTGGGACCAGAAGCTGTAGGCCCGAGAAGTCTTCCCACCCAGCCCGGGAGACAGGCCCGGAGCGGCAGTGGCTGGTCCCAGGGCTCAGCTCAGAGCCCTCCTGGCTGGGCCAGCGTCCTCGGGCCCTCCCGTCGGCCCCTGGTGCCTGCAGACCGCGCAGGCCCGGCTCAGACAACCCGCGCCCCAGACCCCCAGGCCCACCAGCCTGCTCACCGGCAGCATGTGTTCGAACTTTTTGAGTGCAGACTCCCCGCAGTCCCAGAACTCGAAGCGGAACATGACAACGCGGTTGCTGGCCTGCAGCTTGGCCGGCCAAAACACCACGGTGGTCTGGATGCCTGGGGGGGCCGGGTCGGTCACGCGGTAGAGGGGAGGAGAGGGCCAGGAAGGAAATCCTCAGTCTGATGGGGAAGGCACAGTCCCCGATGGGAGAATTCCTGCCCCAGGAGCCTCAACCTACCAGGGATATGCAGCCCTAGCCATAACCGGGACAGAGCACCGCATCGGCCAAAAAAGTTCGTTTGGGGGCTTCCCAGGTAGCTCAGCTGGTAAAAAATCCGCCTGCAATGCAGGAGACCCTGGTTCGATTCCTGGGTTGGGAAGATCCCCTGAAGAAGGGAACGGCTACCCACTCCAGTATTCTGGCCTGGAGAATTCCATGGACTGTATAGTCCATGGAGTCCCAAAGAGTCGGTAAGATGGGTTCCTTACCACTAGCACCAGCTGAGAAGCCCTCCCTCTTATGTACAGGGAGAGTTAGAGGTCCCGGAATACTGTCACATGTTGCAACATGATGGTAAATCAGCTTCCAGTGGAAGGAAATGAGAAAGGAAGAGAAGTGTTTTCTAAGCACCTGCCTTGTGCCAGCTCAAGGTTAGACAGGTCACCACCACTGCCTCTAGTACTGTCCTGTGCTGTGCTTAGTTGCTCAGTCATATCCGACTCTGTGACCCACAGACTGTAGCCCTGGAGAATCCCTCCAGGCAAGAATACTGGAGTGTGGAGAAGGAAATGGCAACCCACTCCAGTATCCTTGCTTGGGAAATCCCATGGAGAGTTTGGAGTGCTATGGTCCATGGGGTCACAAAAGGGTTGGACACAGCTTAGCGACTCAACAGTAACAAATGGCAGTTCTAGGCAACCTATGAGAACAAAAACTTGTAAGAAATTGGGAGTTGGGGCTGAAACCAAAATCCTATTGTTTACAGATGTGAATGTCTATTTAGAAAAACCAAAATAAACTTCAAGCAAATATTTAAACTTAAAAAAAAGGAATACTGGAGTGGGTTGCCATGCCCTCGTCCAGGGTATCTTCCCACCCCAGGGATCAAACCCAGTCTCCCGCATTGCAGGCAGATTCTTTCCCATCTGAGCCACGGGGGAAGCCCGCTCTACTACTGACCCCACTATAGTCCCAAGGGGTTGATACTATTATCCCTGTTGGACAGAGGCACTCATGTAGGCTCAGAGAGGTGCAGTGACTTTCCGGGGTTTCAGAGTAACAGGTGGGGCTGGTTACAGATTACGGCTCATGTGGTCCAGGGCGAGTCCTTTCTCCACCCCAGGGAAGGCCTCCTCGGAGGGACTCACCAGTGGTCTCGTGGTGCACCACGGGCACCTCCAGGCCAGCCAGCTTGGCCACCAGTGCCGTCTTGCCCACGCCACTCTTCCCAGACACGAAGATCTTGTAGCTGGCAGTGTCGATGGCCACAGGCGGGGGAAGCACTGGTCGCTCAAGCAGCCCTGAGGGAAAGTGGGAGCCAGGTGGGGTCAGGGGCCAACCTGGGGCTTTTTTGGTGCCAACCAGCCCTTCTCTATACAGTACCCATGACAGAGGCTTGCCATACAAGCAGCATCCCCGGAGGAGAAGCTCTGCTGGAACCCCAGTGCTCCCGGAACCAGGCCAGTGCCTACGCCAAATAACACCCTTTTTTTTTTTTTTTAAAGTTCCATGCATGAGGTGCTTCTTGTTATTTTTTGCTGCACCATAAGACTTGTGGGATCTTAATTCCCCTGCTGCTGCTAACTTCCTACCAGGGTTAAACCTGGGCCCCCACAGTGAAAGAACTGAGTCCTAGCCACTGGACCATCAGGGAATTACCTGAGATGGTTTTTATTAATACTATTATCACATATCCCAGGTTTTTCACAGGTGAATGCAAGGTTTTTCCTAATTCTTTCCTCAATGGAGAAATAGCAGCAAAAGTATTCTTAAGTATTATAAATAAGCTCCTTAGAATCAATACTGTCAGATCTTTATGAATGTTTTAAATTAGTTAATTTAATGAATTCAGTGTTTCTTACTTTTTGCAAAACCATGTAATTTGCAGGATCTTAGTTCCCTCACCAGGGATTGAACCTGGGCCCGCAGCAGTGAAAGTACTGAGTTCTAACCACTGGACCGCCCTGAGTGTTTTTAATTTAAAACTTGCAACAAAAATAAGTATAAACTATGATCCATCATAGCGTAGGACCTGGAAGTCTTAAAGCGTGGGCTGCCCTCTCACTCTCTGATCTCAAGCATTCTGGAGCTTTTGTCTCCTGGCCAAAGCTGGGCTCAGGGTTAGGGTTAGTGCAGTCCATGCCAGGCCCCTCTGCGGGCCTGTCAGCTGGATGAATTAGCTTCCTCCTGGGGGACAGGGGTGTCTTATCCTGGAGACAGCAGGATATGGAAGAAGCTTGTGTCTACTCACTAGGGGAGCTGGGACAAGTCTGCAACGTGGTATTGAGAAGGTTAAACTGGCATCCAGGGTACAAAGTGCCCAGCAGAGGGCCTGGCGCCCGCTGAGGGCTCAGTCAACAGCCTCTCTGGTGACAGGGGTTCCTGGCAGTGTTTTGCCTGTTTCCATGTTCCTGGCTCTGATGATGGAATTAGCTCTAAGGAGATTTGGGGGTGGGGGCCCACGATAGGGCTTCTAAGGTTCCCAAGGATGGGGAGAGGGTGGAGCCGGGCCTCAGTGCCCTGTCTCTGCCCCCCCTCGACCCCTCCCCTCCTCCACCCTCTCCCCCAGGTGACCCCCCACCCCCAGGGACAGGCAGGGGACCGGCAGCGGAGGGGGCGCTCACCAAACACCCGCCGGCGGCCCTTGCGCAGGACGCAGGCCAGGTACTCCTTGCCCTGGGCGCTCTCGTGCCAGTCTGGGACAATTACCGAGCCCGGGGCGGCCGGCCTGGCCATGGCTGGGCGCCCTGACGTGGAGGGAAGGCGGAAAGCAGGGTACGGGAGGTGGAGAGGGAAGCTGGGTCAGTGGCCTTCACCTGCCCCCGGGCTCCTCTCTGGAGGCCCCCGCCCCCGGAGGACGGGGCGATGGTGGAGCCCCAGCTTCTTACTGTTCCGATTGAGGCTTCTGGCCTCCAAGCCCCCTTGCAACACCCCGGCTCCCTCTCATCGCGCAGATCGCGCTAGACGGTCACCCCATCACCGCTCCAGGAGGTGTTTGCACGGCCCCCGAGCCGCTTGTCACCTCCGGGGAGGTCACACGGCCTTGCCTCTCCTCCGCCTCCTCGATCTCAACCCCCAGCGCTGACATCGGCGGCCCACGCGGACAAAGGAATTCTGTGGAGCCCTGCTTTAAAGGCCCGCCCCGCCGCTCAGGGCCGGCGCTCAAGGCGCATGCGCGGAGGCTGTCGTCATGGAGACGCGGGGCGGGGTGGACCGCGGGGCGGGGTGGACCGCGGGGCGGGGCAGGTCTGTCCGCCTGTGAGGCCGCGCGGGCTACGGGGCCGGGCCTGGACTTCTCCGTTGATTTGTTCCAGCCTCAGTCTTCCTTCCAAAATTTGAACAGATCTCCCTTCTGCCTCTTTGCTCCCCAGTTTTCTCTTCTATAAAGTGGAGGTAAAATGCTGTCACCTCCCAGGATTCTTTACAACAGTCACAAGTCCTTAGCAGTGTTCAGGACGTTTAGTTATTGTTGTTGTAACAATAATATCATTATTATTGATCTTGCTTGGCAGGAACTCGACATCAGTTGAACACCTGTAGCTTCACCCATGAGGGAACAACTGCTGAGAGTGGTCAAGGGACTTGCTCAAGGCCTTAAAAATGAGTCTAAGGCTTTCCAGTCACTCATTTCTTGATTGATTGATTGATGGATGTCACTTATTCAACAAATAATTACCGGGTACCTATTTTATGCCCGGTTTGTTCTAGCTGCTGGGAATGCAATGGCCACGAGAAGTCCCTGCCCTTCTGGAGCTGACATTCCGTTCCATTCAGGAGCCGTGAGCCCCTCCCCACTGTCCCCACACTGGGCACCAGGCCTGTCACCCAGATGGGTGCTCCGTAAATGCCCCTTAGCTGGATAGTATGCAAAATAGCTCATTACTGAAAAGCTGTCTACTACACCTTCTACCAGTACCTGCTTGCCATGCCTTCAAGTAGGCAAATCACTGTTTTAAATTCTATGAATTAGGCTTCCCAGGTGTCTCAGCAGTAAAGAATCCACCTGCATGCAAAGCAGGAGAATCAGTTTCAATCCCTGGTCAGCAGGATCCCTGGAGAAGGAAATGGCAACCCACTCCAGTGTTCTGGCCTGGAAAATCCCGTGGACAGAGGAGCCTGGTGGGCTACAGTTCATGGGGTCACCAAGATCACACACGCTATGATTAACCTTCACTGAAGGCCAACTAAGTGCCAGATGGTGGGGGCTTTAGAGAGGCTAGTTATTATTTCTATAAACAAACTTGTGTAGGAAATACTATTACCCTCCTTTTATTTTACAGATGAGGAAACTCAGAGGCAATGGGATTATCTGAAGTCACACCACATAGGTGGTCAGTGGGCAAACTAGACTCAGAATCCAGGGTGCCTGGACTCTGAAGGACATCTCTGGTCTGCCGCACTGGGTCTTGTGTGTGTGTGTGTTTTTTAATTAGTTATTTATTTGACTGCACCAGTTCTTTGTTGAAGCATGTGGGATCTAGTTCCCCAACCAGGGATGGAACCCAGGGCCCCTGCATTGGGAGCACAGAGTCTTAGCCACTGGACCACCAGGGAAGTCCCTGGGTCTTGTGTTTTTAAAACTTTGACCCCAGTCCCTAGGAGGGACATTCCTAGCAAAGCTGAACGCAGCCAGAGGGCCATGAGCCCGCAAATCATTGAGGACGGTTCTCAGGCCCCAGGGGGGAGTGGAGTCAGGATGTGTAAGCCGGGGCACTGGCCTTCAACTTGCTTACAGTGCAGCAGAAATACAGGCTTGTAACCACCCCTGCAGGGCCCTGCAGCTGGAAACCGCTGCCTGTGCTCCCAGGTCACTCAGTTCCCCATCCCACAGGTCCTAGCGCGTCTGTGTGGTCCTCACCGTGGACCAGGGGAGCCTCAGTCATGAGACTCAGACCTGATGTGTGTTTAGGTTTCTGGACTTCACAGCCAGCCCTGCCCCGGCGTGGCTTGTGGAGGCATAGGGAGAGTGGGAAACAACTTAGCCGTGTGTGCTTGCTAGTTAGCCTGGAGGCCAGGTAAGATGTGCAGCCCTCCTGGGCTCAGTCAGGGAGGCTGGAGGTCTGAGGCGCTCGTGGCCAGAGGGTCGGGGGGGATCAGTCTTCACGGCCTCAGGAGCTCTCAGGAGTGGAGAGGACACTGCAGTGAGCTGAATCGGGAGCCTGTTCAAAATGCAGATTCTCAGGCCCTGCCCCCCAGAGAGTCTACGTCGGGGGGTCGTGTGTGTCTGTGAGCCCGCACGTTTAACAAGAGCACTGGGTGGTCAGAAGCCGGACTCTGCGTCAGTCTGCTTGGGCGCCACAGAGTGGGTGGCATAAACAGTACAAACTCTGTCCACAGCTCTGGCAGCTCGCAGTCCACAATCAAGGCGCCAGCAGGGGTGTCTGGTGAGGACGTTCCTGCTGGTCTGCAGGCAGCTGCCTCCTCCTTCCCCCCTGCATCCTCTCCAGCCCTTCTCTGTTCACACACTCCCTTGCCGTCTCCTTTTTGTAAGGACACCAGTGATACGGATTAAGGCCCCACCCTTATGACCCCATTTAAACTTAATTGCCTCCCCAAAGGCCCAATCTCCAAATAAGTCTCCTTGAGGAGTTAAGGCTTTGCCCTATGGTGGGGGTGACACATTTCAGCCTGAAACAAGGCCGAGGACCTCACTTACGCAATCGCCGCTGCTCAGCTCAGGACAGGAGCCAGTCACGGTTGGCGCCTGGCCTTCCAGAAGGATGCTGTGAGCACAGTCTAGGGCGTTCCTCTGACCCCTAAACTACGTGTCCCATAAGGGTCTCCTCTTTGAGTCACAGGTGAAACAGGGAGACACTACCTACTTAAAGGCCCTTCCAGTGTAGAACCTTTTGATTAATCCACTCATTTCTTCATGGTTTGGACTTCTCCCCAGACTGAGCACCTCCTGGACAGGGCTCCACAAGTGCTCACGAGGAGAACTTGTCACGGCAGGGACACGGGGGGCCCACGTGGGCAGACACAGACCGGAGGACCTGCAGGGCGGGGCAGCCTCTGCGCCACCGCGCTGGCCGCAGTCACTGCTTCCTTCGGGGCTTCCCTGCTCGCCCCCTCAGCGCCCACGTGATCTTTTTGCACATAAACCACTACTGTTGCCCACACGACTGCAGTCTCCAGTAGTTTTCACTGCGCTCAGAACAGGATCCAAACTCCGCGTCTTCAAGGCCTTCCGTGACTGAGCCCTGACCACCTCGTGCTTTCACCCCAGCCACCACCTTCCTCCCCGGCCTGCCGCACTCAGCGACCCTGGCCTTCTTCCGCTCCCACTGAGGGGCTCTGTGTCGCATTTCCCACCCCCGGCAACTCCCTCCACCACCCCAGGGCCTCAGGAGGCTGGCTCAGGGGAGCCCTTGCCCAGGTCCCGGGTGGACATCGCCTGCCACTCAAGGGCTTGCCTGCACACCCCAGCTCACTCCCACATCATTCTTTCTTGATCCTGAAGTTTTATTTACTTGTTTAGTTTTGGCTGTGCTGGGTCTCTGCTGCTGCGCACACTTTCCCTTGTTGCAGCGAGTGGGGGCTACTCTCCAGATGCGTTTACGAGGCTTCGCTTGTCTCAGAGCCCCGGCTCCAGGTGACGGGCTTCAGCACTTGTGGTGCACGGGAGCGTCCCAAACCAGGGATCGAACCTGTGTCCCCTGCATTGGCAGGTGGATTCTTAACCACTGGACCAGCAGGACAGTCCTGAGACTGACATTTTAAAAATGTATTGTCTGTCTCCCTCACCTTGGACGTAAGCTAGGACTGGAGGCCTTGCCATTTTGCTCTGTTATATCCCTGTTCTACCACAAACTGGGTGGCTTAAACAACAGAAATGTATTTTCTCAGTTCAGGAGCTTAGAAACCTGAAATCAAGGTGTTAACAGGGTCAGTTTCTTGGAGGGCTGAGTGGGAAGGACCCACTCCAGGCCACTCTCTGGCTTGGCCACCTTCTCCCTGTCATATTCCTTCCCTCTGGGTAAGCCCCAGTTCAGTTTCTCCTTCTTATGATGATACCAGGCCTATTGGATTGTGGTCCACTCTAATGATCTCACTTTAACCACTTCAGTAAAGATCTTATCTCCAGGACTTTGCTGTGATCCAGGGTTAAGATTCTGCTCTTTGACTACAGGGGGTGAGGGTTTGATTCCTGATTGGGGATCTTCAACGCATGAAGTTTTTCCAGGGTAGGGGAGACATAATTCCGCACATAATAATCCCTACTACCTAGAACATGTCTGAAATAGAGTAAAAACTTAATAAAAATATGCTGACTGACTGCCTATGGCTACAACATGAAGAATGGCTTGCAGAAGGCAAGTCTAGAAGAAGGACCATTAGGAAGCAGGATGCACATTCTAGGAACGCGTAGAGGATGTGCATTTGTCAAATATTTATGAGCCAAGAGTGGGAAGCGATACAGGCCCTGCCCTCATGTGGCCCACCCTCTGGTGGAGACTGAGCAGCAGCGCAGTAGGGCAGACAGGATTCTAGCTGGTAGATTTAAAGTGTACAGATCCCCTCAACGTTTCTATTTTGGCTGAGCTGGGTCTCGGCCGCTGCGCACCTGGGCCTTCTCTGGTTTCAGCGAGCGGGGGGCTGCTGTCTGCTGCGGTGCGGGCTTCTCACCGCGGGAGCTTCTTTCACTGGAGCGTGGGTTCTAGGCATGTGGGCTTCAGTGGCTGTGGCCCGTTGGCCCAGCAGTCATGGCGAGTGGGCTGAGTTACCCGGCAGGATGTGGAATCTTAGTTTCCGGACCAGGGATTGAACCTGTGTCCCTTGTCTAGTGGCAAGTGGATTCTTAACCACTGGATGACCAAGAAGTCCCCCAGATTCCCTTTAAACACAGAATTTGGCCAAATCATCCCCAAGAGTTGGGGATTTTTTTTGGCCCACCATGAGATCTTAGTTCCCTGATCGGGGGTCCTACCTGAACCCTCAGCAGTGATAGTGGAGAGCCCTAACCACTGGACCACCAGGGAATTCCGCCCAGGAGTTCTTTATCGGCTGAGACGTGACGGGCTGGGCGCCAAGGCTTGTGTCCTTCCCCTGGAAAACCTGTCGCTCTCTGGCTTAAACCCTCTGCCGGCCTCCCGCGGACCTGCTGTCCACACTGCGCCTGATCGGCAAGGCCGCCTGAGCACCTTGCTCTGCCTCAGTGCGCCAGCCACACGGGCCTTCCTGCTGCTCCTTGGACTTGCTGAGGTCATGCCACCCTCAGGCCTGTCTTCCCGCTCTTCTCTCTGCGTGGAGTGCTCTCCACCCATCTCCCCATGACTGTTGCTTCCTACATTCAGGTCTCAGCTGACATGTCAGATCCTCAGCAAGGCTACACCGATGAGCCCAACACCATCACACTTTCTCACAACCCATCTTAATTCTCTTCACAGTATTATTCACTTGGCGTCATCTTGCTTAGTTGTTTCCATATTTGTCTGTCCCTTCTCCCCACCCTCCACTGAAAGGTGAATCCCACAGGGCAGAACAGGGCCTGGCAGTGCCCTGACAGAGGGAACTATGCGGGCGTGAGTGCCAAGTCGCTTCAGTGATGACTCTGCGACCCCGTGGACTGTAGCCCGCCAGGCTCCTCTGTCCATGGGACTCTCTGGGCAAGAAGATTGGAGTGATGCCGGGCCCTCCTCCAGGGGGTCTTCCCAACCCAGGGGTCAAGCCCAGGTCTCTTGCATCTCCTGCGCTGGCCGGCGGGTTCTTTACCACTAGCGCTGCCTGGGAAGCCCAAGACGGGGCTACAGATAGATTTGCTTAACGCAGGAATACGTGCTGGCCACAACCCCCCCTCCAGATGTCAGCCACAAGGCTGGTTTTTCTCCATTTCCCACGGCCTCTCTTTGCTGCCCGTCTGTGCTGGGCCCAGGCCCCGTTTCTGGGCCTCCAGCTCGTGCTCCTGTCCCGCCACAGCCCCTCCAGTCACATTGGCCTCAGCGCCTTCCCACAGGCTCCTCCCTCCACGGAGGGAAGCCCCTTCCTGCCTGCCCTGCAGCATTAGCCAGGCGCCTCTCGTCCTGGTTCTCGTGGACCCCAGGCACATCATCTGCTCCTCTCCAGGTGGAGCAAGTTCAAGTTTCCGCCTCCGCTGATTCATGCACTTGAGAAGCAGGGCTTTGTTTCCTCTGAGCCAATTTAATCTGCGTCTGCTCTGCAGACGTTATAATCCAGCGATTTCCTGGTAAAGTTAAATTCAGTGATTCTTCATTCCTACAGCTTAAGCACTCAAGTCTCCTCAAAGCTGTTTCACCTCCACCTCCTCTGGCGCTGGGGTTCATGTTCAGTGGGGTGGCAGGGGGCATTTAACTGAACAGCAAAGAAGCATGCTGGGGCGTCCTCTGCCCCAGAGAGGACTCTGCTCTGCACGCCTGCCACGGCCTCACCCACGCTGGCCTCCGTCAGGGCTGTGCTCTCCTCCACCGTGGGTCCTGGTCATGAGCTTCTATCCCTGCTGCATCCGAGAGGACGACCTCTGCTCACTCTGCATGGTCCTCGACCGTGAATGTCGGCTCCTCTGGACAGGCCAGACCCCTCACAGCTCTTCTGCACCCTTCCTGGGACACAGGGGTCTGTCTTCCTGGTCTGAGGCCCAGAGGCCTGCACGTTCTGTGTTCCTGACTGCTGGAGGCCAGGCCTGGACCCTGCGGACCTGGGGTCTCCCAGAAAGGCTGTCTGCCCCCTCCTCAGTGTAGCAGGGTGAGGTTAGGACAAGGAGGACGACTCCCCAGGCCTCTGGCTCTCCGTCCTCCCTCTTCTTGCGATCTGGTAACATAAGTAGACGCTCGTGTGGCCCTGGAAGCTCAGGGCTTGTCTTGTTCCCTGCTGTGTGAACCCGCAGGCTGCTCCCAGGGCAGGTCTCTGCCTCCTCTGAGCACAGAGCCTCAGGGGTGAGCCCGCACTCGGGGACACACGCTGAGTGAGCCCCAGGGCAGCGCTGGGCCTCCCTGGCCTCATCGGGGAGCCTAGTCGGGAGCGGCAGCAGCCCCGGCCCCCGGCCCCCGGGCAGGAGCTTTCTTCCCCGCGGGCTTCTGCCTGGTTAGGGCCCGCCCCCGCCCTCCTTCCGTCCCTGCAGTGGGTGGGTAGACAGGCCTCTCAGGCGTCTGAAACAGCAGCTCCGCTCTGTGCGTGCTGACCGGGTCCGGGCCCCGAGCCCAGCCCACGGGGAGAAGCACCGGCTTCTCCACAGCCAGGGGCCGGGGCAGAGAGCAGGCCGGCCGGCGGGGGGCGGCGCTCGGAAGGAGAGACGGGCGTTTTCTCCGTGCCCGGCTTCCTTCTTAGGAGGCACGGATGGTGTCTGGGACCCAAAGACTTTCCCGGGGCGCCCCCCGCTGGGCTTTTGGGGAACCACACCCGTGGTTCCGGCTAAACCGGTAACCTGTGTGTGAGACCAGCGGTCATTTCTGCCCTTTCACGGCCATTTCTGCCCTTTCAGCTGAGGCTCAGGGAGGCAGGACAGCTTTTGAACCGATGCTCCCCTGGTCCGAAGTCCGGGCTCGACCCTCATCTGTAGTCTCTCTGGGAACTCCTTTCTGAGCCCACAGGAGCACATCTCAAGGGTTAAAAGCGCAGAGATCCTGTGGTCTCACTCTTGATCTGACCGGTAAAGCAGCTCCGTGGTCTCCTCCCATAGACTTTATCAGTCTCTGCCTGAATACTTGCATCAACAGTGAAATCAACAGAAAACGGCAAAATTCTGTAAAGCAATTATCTTCAATAACAAGTAAGTTAAAAAACTACTGAATCATCACCTCACAAAGAACCCCCAGGCATGCTGGACTGCCCTTCTCCATGGTACACTGTAGGGAGGAGGGGAGAAGGGGGACACACCACAGCCCCTCTGGCACCATCCCAAGCTGGCCAGCCTCAGGATTTCCGGGGATGCTCATCGCCTGGCCTTTCCCAGGTTCTCCGGGTGAGGGCGACGTGGGGCGTTAGCGCAGGGTGGTGACAACACGTGCAAGGCTGTGTCTCCTGTCTGAGTCGGGGATTCCCGCACGCCTGCCCTCCCGCTGGACGGCCTGTGGAGTCCCGAGGAGCAGGAAGGGCAGTGCACTGTCGCCCTTTCGCGGGCTGGGTGCTGCAGTTCAGACCCAGATGGGCACAAGCCTCTGGCCCTTCAGCACCCAGGGGCGGGGCGGGGCGGGGGCTGCGCTGGGACCCCCACAGTCCTGGGGGAGCCGCGCTTCTGTGCTGAGCTGAGCTCTCACTGAGGATTTCTCTCCAGACTGGCACATGCCCTCCTCTCTGCCCCACACAGTCTCTGACCTGGGGTCGTTCACGCTGCCGGCTGTAGCTCCGACCCTCCCGAGCTGGAGCCTGCTCCCCTGCCATTACTGCGGCCCTTGGCCTGGATGGACTGTTAGGAAGCTGACAGGAAGCCTTGTGGGACTGACTTGCCCTGAAAGCCGGGTCTTCCCCAGGACCACCAATCACTACTGGCACCCTACCCACCAGACATCACCTCCTCTAGGACATCCCCTAGTCTGAGTATCCAGGCAATGCTAGAATTCCTCCAGTGATGCCACACTGGTTCCAGGCTCCAACTGTATAAAGTTCTTCCCAATGACCCTTCTCTAGAGCTTCTACCTACTGACCGTGTTGAGCCCAACAAGGAGCTATAAGGGGCAATAGCCATAAGGAGCAAGTCTGCCCTTCCGTAAGGGCAAGTGTGGAAGCATCCAGAACAACCATTCTACCGCTTGCCACCAGCAAACCAGTGACCTGAGACCCTTCCGAACACCATGGTCTAGTTTGCCAGATACCTCAAAGAATAGAAAACAGAACAGATGGCATCAGACCACATGTTGTTGGACGTGGAGAAGTTTCATCCTGCAGCTTGGGCAACGCACATGGGCAGGCAGGATGAGAGCCGCAGGCTCACAGCACCTTAACCTGAGATAAGGCTGATCCTCAGCCTGAGCTGCGTGAAAAAACGATGGCGCTGGGCGCAGAAACCCAGGAATGTGAGACAAGTGGCAGACCGAAGAATGAGGTCCAGAGGGAGACAGCACTGCTGAGACCACTCTGACCTGACTGAGGGCAGCAGCTGCTATGTTCTGCCTGAGGCAAAAAAGCCTCAGAGGTCCTCACGGGGACAGGTCATCAAATGACTCAGATGGCGGGGACGTGCGTAACCCTTAGTCTGGGGCGTGATCCTAACAATTTACACACTGTGGCCAGCACTGTCCTTCACGATCACATCTTTTCTTCAAGGGCTAATTATAAACAACAGCCACCAGTTAAGTGCCAGTCTGGCACTGGGCTTTTCACATAAAACTTCCGGTTAATCCTCGTGATCCTATAAAACCAGAAACAACTGATTTATAAACGAGGAAACTGGTATCCAAGGTTGAGCAGCAAGTAGGGGATGGCAGGATGGGCCACAGGGCGTCTGCCTCCAACCCCCGTCTGCTGTTTCAAGAGCCCGAGGCCTCCCATTTTTGCTGTGGCCGCCAGCGATGGCGCAAATGGCGCCCTGGCCTCTGGGTGTGCACTCCAGGCTTGTCACCTCTCTGGGGCCCCACTGCAGGGTGGCACTGCGCATGTGAAACCCCGTGCTCCTAGCACGCTGTAGAGAGTTGACTATCATCACATGATGTCCTCAGGGGCGGGCCACCCTCCTGGAGGAAGAGTATCTTTCCCACTACTTTGCTTCCAACTCCAATCTCCAACTGCTTTTCATCACAGCTTGCTTGCTTTCTTTTATACTAATGAAACAGTTAAGACAATTCGGTCCATTTTGTTTTATTTGTTAAATTGCTAAAAAGTCATGGGGGGAACCATTAACAAAAAATAAAATTGACAAGAGATTTAAATATCAATGAAATCAAATCCACTTTTCATTCCTACACTGTTGTGTGCCTACAGTGATCATCTCAGGGTAAGCCACCCAGGACCCCTGAGTCGCGTGGGAAATGTCACTGACAGCACCAGCTTCGTCAGGGCACAGCACACGTGCGCTGACGGCAACCCTGGTTGTGGGAGGGGAGAGAGGGAGCAGAGAGCACGGCGGCGCCAGCGCCTAAGGGGCGCTTCCATCTGACAATGAACACGGGGGAGGGAGCCACCCTGCAGAACACGCCTCTGCGGCTCACGGGGAGGCCACCTGGGGTGCAGGCCTGAAGTCTGGCTGCCTTGCCCCTGGGCGTGTTCAGATCCCCCCACTGACTTGTGCGCTGGTAAGAGACCGCAGATAGTGCAAAGCAGGGCATGTCACCGTGCCAGGACCACAAGGTCAAGGACAGACCGGCCAACCAGCCGGCCGGGAATGTTGCTCTGAATGGGAAGGAAAGAAGCGAAGAGAACGAAACCCAGAAAGACCAAGTGAAACGGAAGGGAAGCATCCCCTTGTACTCCATCAATTGGTGGCTTTCTGTCCTCCGAAGTCAAGACTTGAGTTGCTTTTCTTCCTTCTTCCTCTTCTTCTTTTAAAGAGTTTCAACATGGTTCCTAGGATAGTTCATGGTTTCAGCTCTTGATATTAAACTCAAATGTTAAAACCAAATCAATCTGTAGAGGACTGGGAGGAAAGTAAACTCAGGATTGCTTTACAACTAAAAGTCAAGCTTGTTCTGACATCAAATTTGTGCTCCCCAAAAAGTGGGGTGGGTGCAGTGGGGAGGGGGTGGTTTTTGGAACCCACCGCCAAAGCGTAGAAGCAGGGCGGAAATATGAGCAAAAATACAGAGCCCTCTCTGCTGCACAGCCTGGGAAATGAGGGGACAGGAAGCTCTGTTCAGAAGGGAAGGAAGAGACTACAACTCTCACGCAGTCAACGTGGCGGCCAGTGACTCAATGTGGCGGGGCGGGCTGTCAAGGCACGCTTGCAGGAACGGAAGGGGTTAAAGCTTCAAGTAGAGACAACAGGTACCTTAAGTACTTAAATACTGATAAATATTTGCTCAGGTGCTGCTGAGGCTTTAAAAAAATATTCTGTTTCCTCAGTGAACTTTAAGACAAAATCGGCATCACGTCAAAACCAGAGTGGTGGTTCAGCTGGATCTGACTGAAGCGTCCGCAGCGGCCGGGTCGCCCGGAGCCCCCCTGCACCCGAGGCAGCGGCCATCTGGGCTGGGCTACGTCGCTCTCCCCGGACACCCGACCACAGTGCCCAAGAGTCACCGGGACCGACGCCGCGGGGGCGGCAGAGGCAGAGCCTTCTTGAAGGAGCTGTAAACAGTCTGCTCCCAGGCGGTGTGGGTGATCCTGGGAGGCCACGGAGCTACGAGAGGCATCAGCTCTGCTGATGGAAGAAGGAAGTGACAGGTTAACAGCCGGTTTAGGAAGGCCACGGGACAAAGGGAAAGATCACCAAGTTGAGACTCAGAACTTTCAGGCTTCCTAACACTTTATATTTCTGAGTGAGTTCTGAGGCACTGTCCATGCACAGACGCAATACATAGACAAGGTCCAGCAATAGTAACGCCAAAATTGCTAGTCTTCCAGGCTAGCTTTCTCTTGTGAATAAGGACCCCAGCACGATCTAACGGTCTTTGCCAAAGAAGGCCTGGCAACGGGCCCAGAGTCGAGTCTGGAAAGCTAACTGCTGAGCTGAGAGCAGCTGGACACCACACTAAGTAGGCACACGGCAGGCTCCTCGGCCGGGGAGCACGTACCCCTCCCCGCGAGCTGGCCCTTTCCTGGGCTTGGCACCAAGGGCGCTTTCCCACCAAGACCACATTGTAAAAGCTAATGGCTCGGGTAAAGGGTTTAACATGATGTAACAGGAGAAAGCAGGCTTATCAGACAGGCTGCTGAGAGCTGGCTGGGCGCCAGGACCCAGGGCCAGCTGCAGCGTGCTTCGGCTCGGGAAATGCGGACAAGAAAATGAGGAGAGCGGGGCTGAGAAACAAAATCAAGACCTGCAGGCAAGATAACGCTCTTCTGATGAGAAGTCTCCAAAATGATCCACACTTAAGTGGTGCCGATGCATGTTTGTCCAGGTCATGGTTTAGAGACTGGTAACATAATTTCCCGTGTCAGCCCCCCGCCCCCTACCCCACCAACACTGCTCTGGTTGGAAATGTTACCTCAGAAATGACATGAAAGTGAAACCCCAAGCCTTGTTTGGGTGACAGGTGAACAAGACAAAGAAAGAACCGACCCTGAGGTCAGCCATGCTTCAGAGAACCCAAGCACCAGTCAACAGCCAGGCAGAAGAATGCATGCCACAAGCAAGGGCGAAAACCATTCTAGAAAGAACTGCTCTTCCAAGATCAATTTCCACGTTCTATAAACATGGATGGGTGTGTCCAATGTGCTTTGGAAATAAAAAGAAGCCCACAGTAACTTCTGACGCATCAAGGATTTCTCATGATACTGGTATCTCAGAACTCCCTGCTGGTCCCCTAGTGACTTGAGAAACGGGGTTTCAGAAATATTTCTAAGAGATTTCTCTAGACACCCAAACTTAGTAAAAGAAAGTGAGAAAGGTTTTAGGGCTTAAAAAATTTTCACATGGTAAAGAAAAAGGTGGGGGAGGGAGGCGGGGAGAACAGCAGCTGTAAACAGAGAAGGAGGCCTCCAAGCGTCAGGTTTTAAGGGAAAGAGAAAGAGAATAAATATGGATTTTGGAAACTGTGATGAAATATGATTATTAGAAAATTCCACAATCAGACCCCAGAGTGTTTTCTAAGACATGGAGGGAGCACGCAAACAGGTGCTTCTGCGTGAACGTTGTTTCACGACGACCCTGGCACATACGTGGAGCAGATCCCCGCTGGGTAACTTTCCTCAGTCCCAACGGGCAGAAGATGGCTGGGCAGAGGGCACCACTGCAGACAACAGCGGTCTCAGGTCCTCTGTGGGCAGAGAGCAGATCTACACGTCACTTCACCCGCCAGCACCGAAAGCCTGTGAGTCTGAAATCCCTGCTCGTGCACTGTATGCATGCCCTTTCTGTATCTAGCTCTGAGGAGGCCAAATAGGATTTACAGGTGGCTTTTCAGTTTCTGTAGGAAGGTTCTGGCATTAATCTGTTCCCTAAATTCTTGGCCTAGTTACCAGAAAAGTAGAAAAAGGCGGCAGAGCCTCTGCTAAAACACAGCAACAGTTTTATCTGAACCAGGACGGAGCTCTCTCCCTCTTTGTGAACAGAGTTGGCTATATAATATTTCTTTATAGATTTATATAATTTTTTTTTCTTAATGGAGATTTGATCCCAGCCTGGAGTGGGTGAGGCTGGGAACTGGGGTTTGGTTTATGAGAGTGATTTTGTCCTCTGTTTTCTCAATTCTCAGTCCAAATGCTTGCACGCTGGAAAATTCCAAATTAAAAGCCACAGAAAGGGGAAAGGTTTTAGAACATATTATCTCTTTGCTCGCACAAAGTACAAGGCGTTTGTTTTTGGATAGTACTTCACATTCTGTTTCTTGTCCATGAGTCCTCCAAATATGATGAGTTCACCCCTGCCTTGTACCACTGTATGCAGGCTGGTTTCGGGAGGTCCGACCACAGAGCTGCTGTTAAATACTTTCCACTTGACGCGCCCCTTCTCCTTGGTGTCCTTGATGTCCAGCACGTACATCTGCATGGGCTTGCAGTTCATGCTCTGGTACAAGGGCTTGCCCACATTCAGGGACTGCGGGGGGTGGTGGCCCAGGCGGCGGGCGATGGGGGGCAGGGCGTGCCCGTCCCCCTGTGCGGGCCCCGGGCGGGGGACAGGCACTGCTTCTCCGCTGCCCAGGTTCTGGCTCCCAGGGGAGCCCGGAGAAGACCCCAGGGGAGGGCTCAGTGCTGCGGAGGCGGGGGGACCTTTGGACGACATCGCTTTGACAGCTTCCAGGCTGCGGCGCAGGGTGCCTGGGGAGACGGCTCCCGCGAGGGCGCTAGCCAAGTGCGGCGGCGTATGCACACCGTTTGTCTGCTCGGGAGGGTGTCGCAAGCCTCCCCCTGCTGTCCTGCTGTCCACGCCATCCACGTGATTGCCACTGGAAGCAGGTTTCAGGTCCCAAGTCAGATCTATTGATCCTAACCTTAGATCTTTCTGATCAGGCAGTGATCCTCGTCGAGGGGCCAGGGACAGCCCCATTTTCAGGTCGTATCCTTCAGTGGTAGACGGGGTGCTCGGAGACACAGCCTGCACGGGGCTGTCCAAGGAAGAGCCACTTACAGCGGCCGACCCTGGAGACACCGTTCCCCCGTTCAGGATGGGTGAGCCGTCACCCCTGGCTGGGGAAAGGCTTCCTTCTCGGGAGCTTGAGGGGGTCTGCCTTTGCACTCTGGGCCTCAGTGTTCCCCAGCGGCCGTTAACACAGGGCGCTTCATCCATGCTCCTCACGGGAGACTGCGAGCGGTATTCTCGGGTTTCGGGAACCAGGGCTGGAGGGGTGGCACTGATAGGGGATGGGCGGGAGTTCAAGCTGGGGCTAAGCGGTGCTCGCCCACTAGGCGCCTGGCTGAAGACGACCACACACTGCCCGACCTGGAAGACAAAAGACGTGTGCTCAGTTCTGATCATTTATTCAACTATCAAACATTTTACCATGAGCGTTGGGGATGGGCCAGGCATTCTGTAGGTGTCTGAGATCCCTATAAAGATGAAACGAATCCAGCCTGCCCTCCAGGCTGGATGGGACAATCTATACATATAAAGTGGTTGGTTATACATACGAAGTGGTTATATATATAAAGTTGGTATAGTGAGACATGTGCAATCATTTGAACTATGTCTGCGGAGTAGGGGTAAAGGGAAGAACCGAGTATTTGTGTGGGGGACCTGGGGCAAGTTTTGTAGACAGAGATGCTTAAGGGATGGGTGGGCCCCACACAGGTTTCCCGTCCAGTGGCTCATGTGTGTGAGAAATGCCTGAAGAGCTGTGGTCAGTGTCCGCCTCTTTAGTGACATCAAGGTGTTTTCAGTTTCCATACAAAGTTGCTTAGCAATCTGACGAGTTAATATGGCTTTAGAGCTTAGGCCCTCTCCCTCTGCTGGCCCGTCGGCTCTCCACTCACCCGGCAAGCTGGATGGCACCAGAGTTCTGGGGCCCCGTGGTCTTCATTCTCCACCTTGAGCGGCTGCCAGGCCCAGGGGCCTGAGTGCATGTGCAGCAACCAAGCATCCTTGAACAGCTGCAAGGGAAGCGTCAACAGCAGGGCTCAGGTGTGGCACAGGTTACACACCACACACACATGCAGGGCCGCCATCTCCAAGCTGCACCGCCCGTCACAGAGTGTGTGAGTGCCTCGGGAAGAAGAGCAAAGTCTCCGGCCACTCATTCATTCGTATGACCACTGGCCGGGCACATGAAACTGTACTTGGGACCCCATGAATCAACTTTACGTGGTTTTGAATTCTGACTATGGTTTGTGTGTGTGTGTGTGTGTGTGTGTGTGTGTGTACACTGATAGAAAGGGTAGTAGATAAGACATATCCACAATGTCTGAACCTGCATTCTTAAATAAACTTCATGTGAATTCTGGCCACTATCAACTTACTTTCCTCTCTCACTTCTCTTTGTAAAAAATGACAGCAGCAAACCTTATAGCCTGAAGACTTGGTGGGAGTAGGAAGACTATAGATATGAATATTTAAGAGATAAATGTCTCTAATGAAAAGCTTCCCCCCTTCTCCCCAAAAGAGTGGAGAAGAGGGCCAGAAAATGCAGAGGCTATATATCCAAAGTGGAAAAGGTATTTTCTAAATGAAAACGCTACAGAAATGGCCTTGCAGTTTTACAAGGTGAGACAGGGGAAGCAGGTTCTGAAAGCTCAGCAGCGTGTGCATGGGAATGCCACACCAGCCATACTCACAGCATTGGGACCGCCACACCCTCCAAGTATTAAAATAGTTGCATCATCTATGACGATCTGGGAGAGGAAGAAATTTAAAATAAACCTACAAAGACATAGGCATCCAACCTCCAATACCTCAGTGGTAAATGAAAATAGCTTACTCAGCTCCCCAATGAGAGTATTCTATTCACCATAGGCTCCCCAGTCCCTCAAACCATGTCAGTTCTGATCCTTGTAAAAAACTACTGATGATTCACCTGAATGAATTATTTGTTGATTAAATACTATTAACACAAGAGTGCCAACCACATAAAATGCAGGGTTCTCTCAAAAAATAAAAAAGCAAAGTAAATGCTTCGGGGAGAGGCACAATAAAAAGCCAACAAAAATAATTATAACCCATCAGAAGTTGAAAAATAAGTGCCAGCAAAAGAGAATGGTAAATTCTCCTTGGCGTGTGTGTGCTGGCATCTTACCTGACTCCCTCCTCCCTCTCCTGTCCTAACTGAAAGACGCTACAGTGTTTGCTGAATAGCTATTTTGACTCCTGAGCACCTGAGACTGGCCGCCTCGGGGATGAGGGCTGGGCCCAGAGATGCTGGGCTTGGACCACGCCCACTGCTCCAGGTCCAGGACCCAGACATCGCTGCTCCTGCAAGACAAGGACATGAGCGTGAAGGGACGGGTGCGTCTGGGGCCACGGGAGCCGAGGCGAAGGGAGGGGCACTCATCGGGGTGCCTCCCACAATGCCAGGCTCACAGTTAGCACTTAGCCAGATTGTTCTTGCCCTCCTTTCCCTGGAAAGGAGACTTTCAAACCTTTGCTCTTTCCATTGACCCATAAGGCCACATTTGAGTCATGTCTATAGCCAAACAGTAACTAAAGTAAGAGTTACTTAATTGGTGATAGCAGGAAATAGCTACTAGCTGTGATATAATCTTTCAAAGGCAAACTCCACAAGGAAGAGAGCAAAATTATTCAAAAGGCAGTTCTACCCCTGCCCAGGAGATAACGATTTATCAGCTTTGGCCACAGAAGGTAATTTCACCATGGTTAATGGAAGCTGCAGCTTTTGTGTCAAGGACAAATTGGCATCTCCAGCACTCAGGGGACCAGTATGGCCAGGACAGACTCCTCCACGGCGGTCTCTGTTTTATGATCCCCTCTCTAAGGGCATTTATTCACCCATGGGGACACAGGAGTGAGAACCCCAGTACCTTAAGCTCTGACCTGGAGGGTAGAGCTCACACACCCCGCTCCATGAGTGTGCTATTTTTTTTTTTTTTTTTTAGTGTTCTAAAATAAGAAGACGCAGAGAACCCTGTGAGAGAAGAGGGTCGGGTCTGGAGTGGTTTTACTGCTGACAGCTCATCAACTGCCATTTCAAAACACAGGTAAAACGACCACTCCTGCTGATAATGCCAAATCAGATGAAGTACTTCAGACAGACTGCTCTGGCCGGAGCTGCAGGGCCGCGGGGAGGAGGAGACAACCTCACGGAGGGTGTCAGGTTGGGCACAGCTTTCTTGCTCCTACCCACTCTCCCAACTCATGCCAATTCACCTCTCTCCTTCTCTAAAGCTTCAAGGGGCACAAGTTGGGCCCTAAGGAGAGCAAGGAAAAGTTCTCTGCTTCTTGGAAGATGGCCTTCTGAGGGCACAGGCAGAAACAGACAAGGTGGAGGCCCCGTCACCACTTGATCCCACTGAACTAAACCACATACCGGACAACACTGAGATTCTACATAGCCCTGATTTTTTTTTTTTTTGACATTTCAAAAATGAGCTTTATTTTAAAATTAAAGACACGCTGAAAACAAACACACACTTTTTACAATTTATATCAAACATTTAAAACATAATCTAAAAAAAAATAAAACATAATCTAGGATTGTTGAACATTAATTCTTAATTCAAAGTAATGACATTCATAGAACACATCTTGGTGCCAGCCAATATGGGGTTGATAAATCTAATATTTCATATCAGCTTAACCATTAATCCTTGCTAAAATTCAGTGATTATGATTCAACTTTATAAGGTTAAGCAAGTCTTCCAGGCAACAATCTCATATAACTTTTTCAAATGCAAACATTTATACCAGCAAGGCAATTATTAAAACATATATAAATCATGCTGAGGGGCTTGATTAAAAGGTTGTCTATATAGAGGTGCACCTCGCCTTAGAAAGGACACACGCACAAGAACATTTAAGAGAATATAAGATGCCCATAGTCCTGACTTTATGGAGCAAGTTTCTCAATTTATTGGCCTGTGACTAGAACCAAAAAACAGAACACCAGGGTGAGATAACTCACTGGATTGATCAGAACCATGCTCAGCGATCTTGACCCTGACTGGTTTCCTTTCCTGCCCTAGTTGACCTTTCCAGGAGTATTTATCTTCAGGGTGACAGCAAGCTAACCAAATGTACTTACATCTGCCGGGATCCTAGGGAGCCACCAAAGACGATCATTTTATCGTCTATCACACAAGAGGAATGCCCAGCCATGGGAGGTGGGCCGTGGGTGGTCACAATGCAGTTCCACCTAACACAGAGAGACAGGGGAAGTAAAGAAGTCAGTGCCTCTGCCTCTGGCCATCTGTGTTTAAGACGGAAGACAGGAAGCAGGCATCCGTCTAAATACAATCCTATCACCTTCAGTAGAGAAACTGTTAGACAATAAACGGAGGCTGGCACAAGGTATTATGCCTTTTCATCGGATCTGCTGAAGCTCTATTCACTCTCAGCCTCCAAATGCGTAAGGCTCAGACACAGAGAGGAGAGATGAGAAAAGAGCGGCAGGGACTCCACCCGGCTTCCTGAGCTGCGTCAGCCTAGCTTGCTGAAGGAGCACCACCTGCCGTTTCTTTCTACAGGTCTGATTTTCAGATCAGTAGCAGCTGCCAAGAGCCCTGTGCTGAGCAGCTGAGCAGTCCATCACAAGGAAGCAGAGGTGACTGTCATTTTAAAAAGACAAGTTTGCACAACAACTGGGACTCAGTCTGGGGACAGCAGGCGGTGTCTTCTGGGCCCACAGCACTCCCGGGGCGCTGGCAGCCGGAGCTGAAGAGCGCTCTGCTCTTCAACTGGCTCATTCACTTTTCTTGGAAAAGGAATACATGTCTTCTACTTTCTTCCTCTCTGGAATACGCATGCTTAACTTCAAGTTCTAGGGAGGGTCCTGTAAACCCTCTGAAACTGTAGGCAAAATCTGTGCATATGTAAAAAAATTTTTATTTTTCTGGGAGGAGTCCAAAGCTTTCAACAGATTATCAAAGAGATTTCTGGACATGCACAAAATGATAAGGAATCCAGTCATTTTAAACCTTCCTATTCCAGATTGAAAGGATCTAATCTTTGTGGCTTACCAGTTTTTAGAGGGTGAATAAGTATGTATTTCATCAAAGAACCTCTCTGGTTGGTGCAGGGGGTAAGGGCTTGGCCGTGTCCAGCCACCAAACAGCACCAGCAGGTCCTTGTATACAACCAGAGTCGCTCCAGCTTTGGGGGAAGGATAGGACCCTGAGAGAAGTCAACAACAGCATGGTTAGGATCAGCACCTCACAAGCTGCAGGCAGGCGGTCTACAGACCACTGTTTCCTGACAGAGCGACAGAACAGGAACCAACACAACAAAGCATCAGGGAGAGGAGGAGACAGCTGGGTGTGCAGGGCTGAGAGAAGACCGTCGCCAGTTCACACTGCCTTTATAACGGAAGCAGAGAAGCCAGAGCGAGCTCGGAGTTGCCCAGCCTCTCAGACTTGGTCACTTCGTGTGGTCACACGACTCAGGATGAGAGCATCTGTCCTCAGGCTGCCGCGTGTCATTAAACAGGAGTTCAAAGCGCCAAGCACAGTGCTGGGCACGCAGCTGGTGCTCAGCGATGCTGACTCTCCTGTCCACCCCTTCAGTAAGCTTAACAGAGATCAGAGGAAAGCATGCACAGGCTCCACGGAGGGGTGTGCACAGAGGCGGGACACAACTCAAACATGACCACTGCTACCAAACACAGTAAAAGAGAAGGCAGAATGCAGTTCTTCTTTATCCTGTAAGTCAAATGTTAACAAGTGACCTCTGGGCCCCTAGCTATGGGCCTCACTAGCACACACGGAAGCAGATTTTCACGGCTTGATGTGAAAGCGTTCCAAGGACACTGCAGCCAAGAGTGGCTATTAAGGCCTCCAGGCTGCACCTCTGAGCAATTCTGATAGAATTTCAAAGCAACAGAAATCCAGCTTATACTGGAAAACTTTAGGGATAGCACATGTCCCAAGGAAGCATCACTTTTCTGAGCATTCTCTCTTTGAAATAACTGCGTGTTTTCCCAATCCCTTACTCTATGCCACCTGCAGTTTGCTTAAGACAAAGCAATTTGTCCCACCCAGCCATCAGTAAATACTGGAATACTAAAAAGTACTTTTGTTGTTGTTAAAGCTAAAGGATCTATTTTTCAAAGGAAATTTTATGCAGAAAGAATCCCAGCAGTATATTAACCTGACAGGAGGTGAGGCGCTCCAGTTTACATGGACAACTTGGCCTGCCCCTTCGGCAAGGGCTCACCGGGGCGCGGTTTGAAAAGCCCTGCTCACACCGCTTCACCGCTGCTGGCTACACAGCTCTGAGGCTGGGAGGGTGGAGACACGACTGTCTTCTGTGGCCCACTTAACCGAGGGAGCTCCCTGGTGGCCCAGTGGTTACGACCAGGCGCTTTCACTGCGAGGGCCCAGGTTCGCGCCCAGGTCAAAAAGCGAGGCAGCAAACCAAGGTTCCCTCAAAGAGCAAAACATGGAAACATACAAAAACAGAATGTTTAAGGCATTTTAAGCAATTTGTATTAAAAATGTTTAAGTACATATGCTTTGAATCCTAAATTCCATTTCTAGTGATTAATCTCATGAGAAAGCTGGGCAAATGAAAACAGAAAAGATACAAGGATGCTTATTTGCAGTGCTTAAATAGAACAAGGAATAGCCACATAAGAGAGTGGTTGTGAGAATTAAATGACTTAAATCATATAAGGCATTTCCAGCAGCGCCTGTTATTATCACTGCTAGAACAAATTAATATGAAGTTCACACCAGGCCAATTAGCCAGAGACATCTAATAGAACTGTTTTCTACATGGCACAAAGCTTATGAGAACAGAATGGAACTATTGCACATGCTTCACTATTACAAAATGGTTAGAGTATTCCTGGCAGACTAACTATTTAGCTCAAGAAAGTACAACAGAAATAAAATAGTAACTGATGCTTCATGATATGAAAAGCAGGTCATCCCAAGTCCCAGGGAGGTAAATATATTGAATTACGATTTGGAAACAACAGTTAACATGATAAGACTAGTCGGGGTTTGCTCTTCGTACTATGCATCTCCTGTAATACCTTTTGAAATAAATTACCAATATTTTATGAGGCGAGGTAGACCAATGTTCACCAAGGCTGGGTTCAGAGAGATTACAAATGTAGTATAAGAATACAGACCTCTTTGAGGGACAAACTAGTCACAGAATTAACAAGAGACTGTTTGTAAAACATAATAAGTAAAATCAAACCCTGAAATGACTTCTCAAATACGACCTTTTAAGAAAGCCAAAATATTTCCCTCTACTTCTTACCCAAAGCAATAGGAGGATCCCTTCATCCAATGTCTGCTTTTTGTCACAAATGGAAGCTTTAATTTCAGCATCTGACTACCTTTACATCTATACAGGGTCATACTAAGAAGTTAAACTGCTTCTCCACCTCAGTTTACAAAGGGGTATGGCGGGAATTACCCTACAAGAACAAATGAAGGAGGGAGGGGGAGGGCACAGAGTCAATGCCACAACCCTTACACAGTCAGTTCAGCAATCAAAGGTCAGACAGTGCTGCATCAAGTTTTCTGTGAGTCAATCGTGCACGTAATGTTTACACGATTTGTTGCAAACTGGACACTAAATTACTACTTGAAGAATTCAGTATTATGACTTTGCCAAGAGCCCCTAATTTTATCATGTTCGAAATTTATTTATTTCCTATTTTGAATTTGTTTAAAGCCAATGGTCTTCAATTCCCCTCCCAATTATCTTAATGCAAGGTCCACAAATGAAATGAATCAAATTTATGATGAGATCAGAGACTGCAGAAGTCAATGAATTTTAGCAATCTCTATCTTAAAGAATAAACACTCTTTAACCAAGTTCTGAGAAGCAAATAATGTCTTTAGCAAATAACGTCTTGTTTTCTTAGAAAAACAAGAAAACTTATTTTCAAATTATATACCTTTGTTGCTTTAAAGTCCCAAGAAAAGCAAGCAATTTAAAGAGTAGTATTTACAAATTTAATTAAAAAAAAAAAAAAACACCACAACACACGACCATACATTATTAGACAAGGAAAATAACTTTTATATAGACTAGCCCTCAATAAAATATTACGTCCTAAACTTTGAAGAACTGTACCTATGAGCAAGCAATTCATTCCATACAGTAGCTGGAATGGTATCATGTTGTTTCACATGTTTTCATGAAAACACACTCATGACACTGGAGATGGAATGAGCCACTGGGAACCGTGTAAATATAGGGTGGTCTGACAACAGGAGGCCTTCCATGGTGAAAAGGCTCCTCATCAAGCTTATAAATGAAGCCTCTACTCCTCAGGGTGCTCCCTGGCCTGCTTTAAAACATGAGCCACCAGGCCTCTGCTGCTGCAGCTGAGTCGCTTCAGTCGTGTCCGACTCTGTGCGACCCCATAGACGGCAGCCCACCAGGCCCCCCCCCCCGTCCCTGGGATTCTCCAGCCAAGAACACTGGAGTGGAATGCCATTTCCTTCTCCAGTGCGTGAAAGTGAGAAGTGAAAGTGAAGTCGCTCAGTGGTGTCCGACTCCTAGGGACCCCGTGGACTGCAGCCCACCAGGCTCCTCTGTCCATGGGATTTTCCAGGCAAGAGGACTGGAGTGGGGTGCCATTGCCTTCTCTGACTGGGCCTCTAGACAGTCTAAATATTATTGCATCACAGAAGTGGAGGAAGAAAGGGTGTCACTCCAAGTAGGTTTTCATCGAGCACAACCACAGGACCAAATAAGCCACGTCAAACTTAGACAAAAACGCTACTTAAGCCTATTCCTCCCAGAGGCAACAGTTATCCTCATAGACTTCACCCAAATACCAAAAGCCTCTAATCACACAACAGATACGATCAATGGAGCAAATTTCAAAACAATCCAAAAAGGCATTTGCGGGAAACCGGATAATCAGATAGGCACCCTACACACAGAACTAACATTCCCTAAAATCACTAATTGGCTCAGATATTTCCCAAGGTTCCCATGAAATCAGAAGAAATTTTCACGTATGAGAGACAGTGGCAGAATTACAAGGCCCTCTCATTCACTATTGCAAAGAGGATGGGAAAGCAGTGAAACAACGCCAAATTCGGGTTTGGTTTCTACACCACTTTCCCACAACTATAGTTTCAACTCGTGTAGAACCCAGCACTAGAAGAGAAGCTCAACTGTTTGATACAACATAAAACAAGCTCTTGGTTTAACTGCGGGTGTCTGCATTTTATGCATGACTAAACAGTTATTTCACCTCTCCATTCTAAGACCATTATTTCTTGATATTACTAGTTTACTATTAAGACGCTGAAGTTCAGTTCAGTTGCTCAGTCATGTCTGACTCTTTCTGGCCCCATGGACTGCAGCATGCCAGGCCTCTCTGTCCATCACCAACTCCCAGGGTTTGCTCAAACTCATACCCATTGAGTCGGTGATGCCATCTAACCATCTCATCCTCTGCCATCCCCTTCTCCTCCCGCCTTCAATCTTTCCCAGCATCAGGGCCTTTTCCAATGAGTCAGTTCTTCGCATCAGGTGGACAAATTATTGGAGTCTCAGCTTCAGCATCGTCCTTCCAATGAATTCAGGACTGATTTGCTTCAGGATGGACTGGTTTGATCTCACTGTAGTCCAAAGGACTCTCAAGAGTCTTCTCCAACACCACAGTTCAAAAACATCAATTCTTCAGTGCTCAGCTTTCTTTATAGTCCTAATCTCACATCCATATGTGACTACTGGAAAAACTTTAGCTTTGACTAGATGGACCTTTGTTGCCAAAGTGATGTCTCTGCTTTTTAATATGCTGTCTAGGTTGGTCAGAACTTTCCTTCCAAGGAGTAAGTGTCTTTTAATTTCATGGCTGCAGTCACCATCTTCGGTGATTTTGGAGCCCCCAAAAATAAAGTCTGCCACTGTTTCCACTGTTTCCCATCTATTTGTCATGAAGTGATGGGACCGGATGCCATGATCTTAGTTTTCTGAATGTTGAGCTTTAAGCCAACTTTTTCACTCTCCTCTTTCACTTTTATCAAGAGGCTCTTTAGTTCTTTGCTTTCTGCCATAAGTGTGGTATCATCAGTCATATCTGAGGTTACTGATATTTCTCCTGGCAATCTTGATTACAGCTTGTGCTTCATCCAGCCCAGCGTTTCTCATTATGTACTCTGCATATAAGTTAAATAAGCAGGGTGACAATACAC